GCAGCATCTGCGCTGAGACGCCGAAGCGCTAGAGTGCCATGTTGCCACTCGTAGCGTTTGCACTGAACAATGCAGTGCATTCATCTACCGGCTATATGCCGCTCTATGTGAACGGGCTTATTAATCCTCGCGTCCCACTGACGCTGCCATCCAATGGCTTAGGGCTTGGTGGGGTAGGAACATTTCGAACGGCTAGCTGATGTCGGATCCCTCAGTGTCAGTCAAGAAGTCGATGACTTCTTGTCTACCAGACTTAGTGTCCTACGACACGTTCGCAGTGCAATGGCTGAAAGCCAAGACATGCAGACCGAATATGGAGATAGAAGAAGCAGAAGAAATGTTAAAAACTTTGAGGTCGGAGACCGAATTATATTAAATGCTAAAACGCTTCCTACAGATGCAGTCTCTGCTGTCTCTAAGCAAAGCTTGGTCACAGTTTATCGGACTTTTAAGAGTCGTGGCCACGCGAGGCCTTGCGTATACGCTTAACGTTCCGAGAGGGATGCGCATCCACCCGGTGTCTTATGTGAGCTTGCTCTAGCCGTACCGGGATCCGGCGCATGCTAACGCGGAAGCGTTGGCGTCGGGGCGCCGCTCAATGGCGCTCGGCTACCCAGAACTTTAACCAGCAGCTGGTTCTGAGCCCGAAGTGCAACAACTCATTGTAAAACGCGAAAGGCTCTCCACCGTCACACGAGGTGACGTGTTCGCCTGCTCGACGGCTAGGAGACGCTCCGACAGAGCACGAATTTCCTCAGGTAGTCGGTGCACAAAATTCTTCAGACTCTTCATGTCTTCCGCACAGCGGGAGGCAACCTCGAAGAAATGCTTGGCAGAGTGCCGATGACGAAAGACTTTGTCCAACGCTCGAAGAGAAACCGGACGGTGATTGACCAAGTCGTCATTGTCCTCAACTGACTCTATTCGATGAGAATAGTGGTCTCCACTAAAACGTGGAGCGCCTTGTGGGTCGACGTCGTCGACGGGATTAACCCAGTATCTTGTGAAGTGGCGGGGATACCCAAATTCCGAGAATATACGGGAGTTTGAGGTGCCAAATCGGCAAGATTTGCCCGACGGTTTAGAAGCCTATTATCGGAAGGATCATGACGCTTCGCGTTGTCTTGCGCACCGCGCTTCTCGGCAGTAGTCCGAGAGGCCGGGGTTCATTAGCTAAGCTCAAGCTATGGCCCTGAGCTGCTGCGGTCGTAGACTCACTCGTGTAAGAAACCACAGAGCTCGCAGGAGCGTTATTGATTGTTCCATATGTTGCAGGGTGACAATACGCAGGGAGTCGGTGTTGCGCCTTGAGTTTGGCAAACTCAAATCTAAGATGGCCCTCATCGCCACGTCCACTTCCTTGTGGCTTGGCTGTAAGGCAGACGGCGAGGACAGTTTTTGGTGTCGCTGCACCCCTGTCTCAAAGAGCTTATCATCATTTGCAGTGATTTTGCAACGGACAAGCACCTTAGAAATGGTCAGCATTGCGGGAATAGGGGCATCTCTTTTTGATCCATTGGGATCTCTTGAAATTCCAAAATGCAAACTCGCAGAGCTTTCCACTAATCGAGCTCAGCTTGTATAGTAGCCAAAGACCCGACTACATAGAACGATCGAGTGATCGCGTCTTCCGCTTCAGCAGCGGGATCCGCCGAGCGGAAGCTGTATTCCACACGAGGTCTGAAATCGAACGTGGATACGAGCGCAGGGAGCCTCCAATTGTGGCTTTTGTGCCTCGTCGAGTCGATTGGTAATAATACCACCTCTCCTGGAAGCAGAGAGGTCGGGGAACGGACATGGTTTCGGCAGGGTTTAGCTGGGCTCACGTCGCGCCGTTGGCGCACGTCATCTTACTCGTCATTCCATGCTGGAAAAGGAGCGTCCGACTTGTACTCGACTTCCTCTAGCACCTCGACGGAGAAATCCGTCGCCTGGAGCCGGCCCAGTTGCCGAGGGCTTAGGATGTGCTTCCCGTGAAACTGCGGAAGTTCTGTTCGGAGATGTATTCTGTGCAGAAGAAGAAGAAGGGCTTTGCCCGCAAACACCCTCGCTACCAGCTACGCTGGGTATTTATGCGTGTCGTAGACAAGGTGCTCATAGAGCGGAGAAGTTTTAAAGCTGTCCTAGAGAACATTTAGGTGTCTCAGTCACGCGAGCCTCGTATGATGCGACCGTAATATGTTAATTAGGGATATTTATACTTGTAATGGGGGAGGATGTTACGGGGTTACACGTGTTCTTGTGATAAAGGGCGAGTCGCACAAGATTATGCGATCCTACATAGGTGTGTATCACACACTCAGTGTAATTGTACAATGGTGTGGCTACTCTGTAACAAGAAGCCACCACGTGGCAGATTGCCAGTAGTGATGCATATTACTTTTTATATAAGGTCTGCTACATTAACTCGGTATTACTATATTAGTTAGGAAAACCTAAGGCTTTATATATTGGTGGCTTGCCGCAACTAAATACATTAAATACAGTTTCGCTTTGAACAGAAGTGTTCGTTCGCCTTAATAAGGCTTTAGTACTTAGAAGTAGCGGATTGCGATCTGCTGCACTAGTACTGGTTCTCGGAAAGAACGTAAGGTCGGTGACTTATTATTAGCTTCCTCTAAGCGAAGAGCTACGGCAGCCCCGCTGCAGGTGTGGACTTGCCAGAAGCAGTTCGATATTCTCTAAGTTAAACACTATGGTAAGTCTGCTCTACTATTTGAAAAATACTTTCTTAAAGGATTTATTCTATCCGGATTAGTTCTATAGATATTAATATCTTTCATAAAAAAATCTCTATTGCTAAATGTGCGGCTAGCAGCCCTCGTGTACTACGGACCCCTCCTTTTCAGAGTTCATTCATCTTCATGCATATGAAGTCGTCGTTCCGGTCTTGTGTAAACTATGGAAGGGCAAAAAACAAGAGTACAGCGCTTGTCTCACACAATCTTCGTCTCATTCAGCGTTTACTTGAGCCAACTGCGAGTCTCCAAATGTATAACCAAAAAACACGGCACCATTTTAAGCGCGATATACACGACGCTATATTTGTCGTACCTTCTACATCAAGATGGACTCCATTTAATTCCTTGTTCGTCAGTTGAGAATTTACCTCGACAGGAATCCCATACTACAATCAGGCAAAATTTTTAACCCATCTTCATTCATTGCTCCATAAAGTATATCACTGTATGACGCGTATAAATGGCATGAAATGCAATGCCGCTATGGCAAATAATGACCTGGTCACATAAAGACCGTATTTGGCGATGAAGGCGGGTACAATCAGAACTGACTAGTTTTTGCACAGAAATGGTGAAAGCGACAGCTTCGCTTCACATAGCCATTTCAAGTTATAAAATGATGGAAAGAGGACACGAGTATTTAATAATCAACGTACGCATCTCATACCTTGCCCCCTGTCCTAATATGTTGGATTAATTTAGAAAGAGTGCAACGGGATTGCCATGCATCTTGCACAGGGAAAGCTTTAGAGGATTTTGAGGAACCCAGAGCATCTTAAGCAGCTTAGTATTTATAAGCCCACGATACGCCGCTATGGTCTTCACCAGTATCAGCAATTGTCCAAACGTAATTGTTGCACACAAAAGTGTTAAGTGTGTTTATCATACGCTGCGTATCCTGGACGCCCCCTAACCAAGATGTGGATCGCACTATGACTTACGTTTTTGTCGTTTATAGAAAGGGCGCAATTTTTGAGATTCAGTCGAAAGACAGTTTCTAATTTAAAAATGAAATGTAAGCAACGTCCCTGTTAGTTTCATAATAAAGTTTAGATGGAAAATAGGAGAAGTCGACAAACGTCCCAGGTAAAACCCCATCCAAATGTCCATAAAGACGGCATTCTGGTGCTTGACGGGCGATGTGATAGTAGAAATAAGTATTTCGAGTGATGGACCTGTTGCGCATTAAATTTCATTGCGTCTTGGCCTGTTTTTTGCCGGTGCTGCATTTGGCGGCTTGAAGCATGTTAGCACGGTGATGCTTTGTCAGATTTTAAATGACGCGTATGTACATCATTTTTGTGAGTGACCGTGATGTTCTTTCGGATAGTGTATTGCCAAGCCTATCTGAGTGTCCGCGCTAACAAACATACTGTGGTTGGCAATATACGCCGCTGGCCAGAGAGAAACCTGATGCCTTAACCGCAACTAGGTGTCTCATAGTGAAGTGGTTTGGCTAGTAGCTATCTTAAAACCATCACTGTTGAAATGTGGATGGTGAAAGAGCAACTGATGTATTATAACCAAGGCATTCTCCCTGCACCTAGCTCCTAGAATATGCACCTGGACCGAGACCCCCCGAGGCCCAGAGAAACCCCCGCGACCCCCTCAGGCCACTTCCAACCGCCAACGGCCATCCGGATAATCGTATCCGGATCCGTTTTCCAACACGCCTTCCTCGAAGCTTTCAGCTTCGATTGTCATGCAGCTGGTTCACCATCCCAATCATACCACACAGCTTGTCTAGTCGAACCTTATCGAGTGGCTTGTTAAACGCATCGGTCAGTTTGTCGTTTCCCTTTACCTTCACTAACTTAATCGGACCACGCTGCACCTGGTCACGGACAAAGTGTCAACGCAGCTCGATGTGACGCGTGCGCCGCGAATAGTTCGGGCTGGTGGCCATCACGTGTGCCGCACTATTGTCGATACCAATGCGTGCATAGACGGGAATATCTCAGACAGGATATTGAATTAATCTTTCGCTTCCATAGCAGCTTCACATGCAGCCACATACCAGCCGTGGATTGAGCCACAATCTACTGACGCTTGGACATTCATGTCACCGCTCCACTCACCAGCATAAATACGTGCTCTTCCTGGTCTCGGGGTCACTTCCCCGATCACTATCACAGAATCCGCTAAGGTTCAGCTCCGTACGGCCCCCAGATCCCTTCTTGTACATAATACCGTGCGCCTGAGTGCCCACAAGGTATCGTAAGACGCGCTTGAGCGTTGCCACATGCTTCACAGTCGGGTTCACAACGAAAATTCACAATTGGCCGAGTGCAAATGCCAGATCCGCCTAATTCCGGTTGCGAGAACCATGAGCATGCCCAGTGCCCCTCGGTAGTCAAAGCTGGAGTCGAAGCTGTCGTCCTCCGTAGCTGGTGCGAGTCTCGTGGTGAACTCCATGGGGATCCCACACTTGTTCGCTCCGCCAAAGCCGAGCTTGTATAACACGTACTTTGCATATTTCTCTTGGCTGATGAACACGCCCTCCTCGGTTTGAGTCACTTCGATAGCCAGAAACTCAGTGAAACCCCCGTGGTCCTTCAGGCCATACGCCTTGTCGAGCTCAGCAAACAACCCGATCTTGGACTCCTCATTATTCGTGGCACAAGCCACGTCGTCCACGTAGATCAATAGCGGCACAATTTTCTTTCCGTCGATCAAGTAGTAGAGACAGGGTTCCGTCGCACATCGATCAAATTCGCGGTTCAAAAGCCACCCATTGATCTCCGAGTTCCAATCACGGCCGGATTGGCGCAAGCCATACAGCGCCTTCCACACCACGTAAGGATACGACAGGAGCTCACACGAATACCCCTCGATCCCATCGACATACTGAGCGATTTCGAGCGTTGCATTTAGATACGCAGTGCTGGTGTCCCCACCGTAAAGTACAAGATCAAACTCTGCAGATATGATCGCCGTGATCCGTAACGAAGATATTCTCACGACAGGCGACGAAGTTTCCATAAAATCGATTACTGGCCTCTGGTAGTTTCTGAGCGCCCCGACTCTCGCCTTGAATCTCACAACGAAGCCTTGCGCATGCGTTTTGATCGCGAAGACCCACTTGATCTTCACGGTTTTGGCATTCTTTGGTATATCGGTCTTCTTGACCTGTCCTAAGACCTTCTTGTTTTTGGACGCAGCCATTTCCTCCAGCTCAGCCATTTGCCAGAAATCCGCATGCTTAGAACTCATAGCTTGGCGTCGCTTTTTTAAGCCTCTGATGCTCTTGGCATCAATCGGTCTGCCATCACGACTCAATATTTTCGTCGCAACATTTGACCATCTGACAAAGTCATCGAATCGAGCCGGTCGGCGCGTCCACCGACGTAAGCCTGTGCGACGTTCTTTTATTCGATCTCCAAGCTGGTTCTTCTCAGCTTTTGACGGGGTGTTGTCCCGTTCCACTCGCTTTCGCAAGCCTTCTGGCAGTACGATCTTCTTAAGCACAAATCGTTCCGTGGCGGTCGGTCCGACCCAGCCCCGGCATTGTCACCGTCGAGTGAGTCCTTGCACCGGCCGTTTTCCGTATGATTCTTGGCCTCCGGGCCCTGCCCGTGAGTCGATCCCTGCTCGTCGGTCGGATCTCTTACGTCCTCGCCCACCTCGGTCGCGTCGGCGATCGAACCTTCGACTGCTGGGTCCACCTCCGATCCAAAATTAGCCGAGACAGACTTGTCATCATCATGACCATCATCTGCCTGGCCACTCATATCCTGGCGATTCTCACCGACGTCCTTGCTGTCGTGATCTTCGTCCTCGTCCTCCTCATCGACGTCTGCCGACTGATCCTCATCAGCCATATAGGCTTCGTACGCAACCGTATCACTGACACTAGTCTCTGCATCCCCCGAGTTGTAAAGTACGACGCTCTGGCTAGACTCATTGATGCTTTCCATGTCCATGCTGTCGCCATTCGAGATGCTGGTCGTGTCGTCTTGCTCTCCAACTTCTTCGGTCGCAAACAGTAACCACTCACCATCATCTCGGTTAGTTGGATCGACGTGATGACGGTCGCCGTATGTCACGTCCTCAATAACGCGAACCTCAGCGACAAACTTGACCGTGTTTTCGCTGGGGATATACACACGTGCGCCAACAGTGTCCATTTCGAACCCAAGTAGATAGCATTGTCGTCACTCTTCGAACGCTTTGGTGTGTTCGGCACTTTGATGTACACGCAAAGGGCTTCAAGTGGTGCACATCAGCTTTCACGCCGAGCAATCGCTGGACTGGAATCCCATCGATGGCTCGATGATACATCATATCCTTGATGTAAACCCCATACAAAAGGGCATACCACCAAAACGAACGAGCAAATCCGGACTTGTGCATCTGCGTCTTCGTGTATTCATTCAACGACTGGATCA